CCTAACTCAGGGCCCTTCAAGTAGTTAGTTTTTATCAGTTATATGCCAAGCCTTCTGAAATCCCCAACTCTTCTTCACACTGATGACGAGAAGATTTGTAGATCAACGAAAGTTTTCGGAAACTCATACATGTAGTAGGTAGACCTAAGACTTCTGGAAGACTGGGTGGAAATCTCGGCAGGAGAGAGGAGTCTTTCGGAAAGAGTTCAGTGAAATGAGACAAAAGGAGTTACAGGTATCTAAATAAAGCAATATTATAAAAGCTGGGGAAATCAGGTATTTTTTACACTTAGCTACTGTCTGCTTAGGGCACAGTTTGCAAGACTTCAGGTGACCAGAACTACTAATGCAAAGGTATTGTGCCATCAAGCCATCACGGACTTTCTCGTAGTGACCAGTAAAGGATACCGAATCAGCGTGCAAAGACTTGACTGAACTCCGATCTCTTTTCGTTCCGAGTTCGCTGCCCCTTGCACTCTATACCAGAGGTTGTGGCAGCTGCTCCATTGGTAGGAAGCTTCAAGTAGAAGTCGGATAACCACGCAGCAAATCAATGACTGTGTGCGAACGGGCCGTCTCCTGAATGTTTCACACTGCCATCTATGAATGGGGATCATCTGAACTCATCCTCTAACATTGACAAGTCTCATTTGTTTCACACTTCTGGTTACTCTGCATATTTATTCACTTAATTTACAACTATTACACTATCACTTATCTACTTGTTCGTTTTCCTTTTAAAGTGCTCATAATCCCCAATAATTATACCATAATAATTGTTATGATCTCCCGTTTCCTACACACCGTACATCTAATGGTTTTAACATATTACGTACTTCAAATAACATATAATCAACCCTGCACATTACTTCTCTCTGAGTTGGTCAAAGTTACGGAAGGCGATTCGCGAGGCAAACTGCGCACGAGTTTGCCGGAAATCAGGCAATTTAACCTTGAAGGAAGCCCGAAGAAATGTATTTAAAATGATACTAACTCGTAAAAAGGGTTTGGAACAAACACATAGCAGTCTCTTTAATACATCTGTGGTACGAGAATCAGAAAAGGGTCTACAACTATTTCATTTGACTGAGGCAAGTCTGTCGTATCATGAATTAGCTTAAGGATGTCTGTTGCGCAGGAATCGATGTAACATACGAGTCCGGAGCGATAGAAGGACATTTCAGGGAGACCTCGCCAATAAGCTTCTCGTGAACCCCAAAAGCCTATACAGGTTTATGGCCGAAAGAAAACCGACCAACCAGGGAGCATGCAATCTAGTGGGTTCTGATGGGAAATCTCTTACTAGTCTTGAAATGGCAGAGACATTCAGCCTAGCCTTTCACAGGCAACTAAATAGTAACGAGGATATTACCCCTACAGAACATCCAGATTACATCGCAAAACCAACACACGAAAACCTGCTGGGGACATTTCAAATTACCCCGGCTATGGTACTTGCAAAATTGGGAAGGTTGGCTTCGGGAAAGTCTCCAGGTTGTGATGGCATCAGACCATCTGTCCTGAAGCAGTGTTCAGAAAGTCTCTGTCAACCCCTAAGTGATCTGTTCCAACACTCCCTTGATGTAGGGAAACTTCCATGTGAATGGAAACGTGCAATCCTATCCCCTATCTTCAAGGGTGGTGACCGGCAGAATGTGACCAGTTACAGACCAGTTGCTCTACTTCCAGTGGTATCGAAGATATTGGAAAGTCTCATTGACGACCACATGAGAAAATACTTCGATGGGACTAACCTTCTTCACGAAGCACAGCACGGTTTCAGGAGGGGAAGATCCTGCGTGACGAATCTTCTACTAGCCTGGAACGATTGGACACTATCCTGGGACAAAAAGGTACCAGCCCACGTGATCTTTCTCGACTTTGCGAAAGCATTCGACACAGTTCACCATGGTCTGCTCCTTCACAAAATAGGCAAGGCGGGAGTTTCTGGAGCACTTCTCGCATGGCTGACAGATTACTTAGGCGAGAGAGAATTCTGCACCAAAGTCAACCGCATCCGATCATCCTGGCACACCTCGGCATCAGGGGTTCCTCAGGGTTCTATCCTAGGGCCGTTGATGTTTTTGATTTTTATCAATGACCTGCCCCCCCAACTAAACTGCTCTGCGCTTCTTTACGCTGACGACGTAAAGATTTGGAGAGCAATAAACTCATCGGAAGACTCAGATAGATTGCAGGCTGACCTGCAAACTCTGGGAAATTGGGCTTTGGCTAACGGAATGCCTTTCAATCTAAAGAAGTGCAAAGTAGTGCAGCTTCATTCCGGCAGGTCACAGAGTGTAAATTACACCCTTGGTGGCCAGAACTTGAGTTGTGTTCCATCAGAGCGTGATCTAGGTCTTATTCTAACAGAAAAGCTAGACACCAGTGGAAATTACTCGAGGGACGTCGCCAAAGCCTACGCAACATTACACTTTATGCACAGGCAGCTGGGAGCTCTCACTCCCGAACTGTTCTTAAGGCTATACAAGGCATATGTGAGGCCACACCTTGAGGTGCATAATATCATTGCACCTCCGCTACTCAAAAGGGATGCTAACATTCTAGAAAGTGTCCAGAGACGAGCGACAAAATGGGTGATCGGCCTCCGCAACAAATCATATGAGGAAAGACTAAAGAAATTAGGTCTTTTCACACTTAGTTACCGTAGGCACAGGGGAGACCTCATCACCGTCTACAAGATCCTAAATGACCAGGCCCACCCAAATAAAAGCATCCTGCCATTAAGCGATTATAGGCTTCCACGAGGTAACCCGCTAAGGATAGCACACCAGAGACCAAAGACTCGAGTGCGATCACATTTCTTTTCGCTTCGTGTTTGCCGTCTCTGGAACGCTTTACCGGCGGCCGTGACTACAGCGCCATCTCTGGAGATTTTTAAGCGGAAGCTAGACAATCATGCAGAAATGCAAGGTTTGTGTCTCAATGGCTTATCCTCATAAAATTTGAAACCACACTGTCAATGAATAAGCGTACAAACTAAATCCCCACGACCTATTCTGCCTTCTCTCACTCTATCTTTTCCTTAGGTCACCTTTATTATTCCACTTATCTCAACCTATATTATCTACACTACAACCTATTATTATTATTATATTATTACTATTCTGCTTTTATGACTACACCGAATGACCAACGGGAGTTAGGTCAAACTCCATTCACGGCAGCAATACAGTCCTAACATACTGCATACTACAAACCACATCTCGACCAATCCCCGCACCACTCCTCCTGGAGTCTACCAGAGCTAAAGCAGTCGAGTGTCGGGACTTACTACGCAGAAGCTCACCGAAGATCTGGAACCTCTACCTCACAATCAAGAAGCGAGCTCAAAGAAATCACTGGTTTATACTAGCTCGTAATCAGGATATTGGATTGGATTTTGGATTTTGAAGGTCGCGTAAGTGTCAATAAATGTAAGCAAATATCGTTGTGAGAACTTCACTTTGCAATGTCATATCATTTTTGCTGGGTTTTTCCTTTTTATTATACGTTATTTTCTTGATCATAATTAAAAATTGTTTGCCTTGTGTTGAAATTTAGTATTTGTGCATACCTTGCATGTTCAGAAAAAGAGAATATACTGCCGAATTATAATTCGGCATATATATATATATATATATATATATATACATACTTCAGCTGAGCTATTTGAGAGTTATTGTGAACTTGAAGACCCCATCTACGAGACGAGATTCTCTGTTCGACTATTTGAGAGTATACCACAGTATACCGTGGTAAGTTGTGACAAAGATGAGAGGAAAATCACGTGATTACATATTATGGGCACTCATACAGTGATGTAGAAAAAGTATTTCCAACGCGAAAGAATTTACTATAAGTTTATGAGGTGTTGTTAGATGTGCCATTTCAGCGCCTCTCTAACAGTGTGCTTAGCTAAGGAGGTGAATTCACCTCCTCAGCTTAAGCTGAGTAATTAATGCGGAATTTTCGGAGAAAAATCTTAGGGCGCATCGCAGAACGTTGGGCAGTTATCTGCAGTCTTCCCCGAAGTTCTGCGATGCTCCCAGAGTCTGTCTCGAAGTCTCCGCAGTACTCCCGAAGTCAGTGCTATTTGAGAACTTCTTGATCAAAGCATGCTTGATAATAGTATATTACGTTGGTATCTTTTGTAACAGAAATCGTAAATTGGATATTTCTATAATTTAAAGGACATGGAGTCTTCATATAATGAAAGGACCGTAGTGACATCAGTAACCTGCAGTTGGCCGAAAATTGATATTTCACATGGTCATCAATTCAGTATAATTTATCTATTGCTAAAAGTCATATCTTCCATACAATTTCTAAAGGAAAATATCACTGTCTTTTCACAATTCTAGCGCCTTGGTTCACTTATACCTGCAGTGTAACTCTTATTCGTATATAGTAGGGCTCTGCTTATGTGCTTTTGATTCTAGTAGGACTGAATGACATCTGTGTCAAAAAGGTACAACCTGAAAAGACTTTTTAATAATTTATGCATACCTGAGTCCAAAGACTGCAATAATTCACCTTTTCTTAAGGATTTCAGTAATGATTAAAATCGTGTCTTCTATTTCCACTGCATACTAAAAGCCTTAGTAGGTTGAACACATTCATTCATAAACAAGCAACAAATAGTACATGCTGTATGACATTAAAGCTTATTGACCAAGTTCATTGAACATATATTTTCGTGTGATGCCTGTTGTTATTCTGTAAATCATGACGTTTCGCTGTTGTGCTTACTGAATTTGTAAGACATCATTTGGTTTTGCACATTTTCTCAGGTTTTTATGCATATACATATATAAATTTATCCACAATATAGGAAGTGCTATAGCTGAATGAGTTTTGCTAAATATGAACGCTAAATCACTTAAAGTACTGATGACCCTTAGTTTTTAATAGCATCAGCTTACTAAAAGAATTTGGGACCTATATTGTATTTAACTGGTTTCGTTTACACTGTATAGCTAAAGTTCTTGGGAAGCTTAAGAATCTCAATTACTGTGGACGACAGATCATGTGCCATGTCATATAACGGGGTCTGTATATGATATATTATTACCCCGACAGAATAATATAAGCTCAGTCTAACAAACAATGTTTCAGTGGTATCCTACAGTTGCTCGCTGTGAGCACTCATATGTCCCCTCAAAACTAGTTTTGCTGCCACGTAAACTGTGTGTAGAAACTTCATGTGGATCAGTAAAAACACATCTGAATTAGTTTAGTAAGTATAATGGTGTGTTCATCAACTAGCTGCTCTTAATAAATAGCATCCCACTTTTAACTTCGACATTATTTATTTTGTGCTCTATTCTCACTTCGACCAATGTGAACTCACGAATAAAGAGTCACAGTTTTCTTAAACTCCTGGTATTGGACTTCCATGCTTTATGGCGAGACATGCTGTACTAAATACTCAGTCTTTGACTACTATCTGCTAGATTTCAATCTTTTATCTCATTTTGTTTTGATAAGTCAGTGATACTACAGTGCCTTTGTTGAATACCCATGCATAGACTAATAAGCTGACTGAAATCCACTGTTGCTGATAGCTTTAATTGTCTCTATTTGATAACACTGCATTGGCTTCATTTTCTCTTGACAAACTAAGAATAAGAGCATAATGCACCAAATTAGTTGGGGAAATTTTGAAAAAGTGAAAAGTAAACTATCAAGACCAAAATACTGCGATCTCTCCGACTAAAGTAACCAAAAGTGATACCTTTTAGAGAAAGAGAGGAGTATTTCAAAGACGCAGCAACTAGAAAGTTTTTCGAATAAGGTGTTATTAAGTTGTGGTTGATAAAACTGATCTAAATTCATACTGGTTTACTAGTCTGTTAAAATTCCGAATATTTCAAAACTTTAAGTTTGCTACTAACTGTAGTAGTCCAATGCTTTTATTGTGATGTTACGATAACCAAATTTGTTTGAAATTACAGGCAATCACACAAAATGCATACGTTTATTTTACTACCTGTACGCCCCAAAAGTGAAAATCAAACTCGATGAGAAAGTATATTCAAAGTTTCTAGACGGAAAAAGTTCTTCTTGGGCTATAGTGATCCCAGCATACACCTCCAACGAGAACGGAATCCTGAAGGCAGTCAGGATGCTAAAAACTGGGAAAGCAGCAGGACCAGACGGCATCCCAGCAGAGGTACTGAAAATAACCTGCGAGACATCAGTGAACATGATGACACAACCACTGCAGAGGGTGTGGAAAAAGGACAAGATACTTGCGGATTGGAAGAAAGACTACCTATTCAAACTGCCAAAGAAAGGAGACTTAAGTCAGTGCAAGAATTGGCACGGTATTATGCTCCTGTCCATCCCAGGCAATATACTAAGCCCCATCATCCTGGAGAGAATCAAACACGCCCTGGATGAAAAACTTCGACCGGAACAGGCTTCATCTATCAGGAACAATTCATGCATCGCTCAAATCGCGACATTACGGATCATCATTGAACAGAGCTTGGAATGGTAGTCAGCTCTCTATCTCAACTTCATTGACTTTGAAAAAGGCTTTAGACAGCCTTGATTCCTAGCAATATTATACAAGGCCCATAATAAACGATTAAGATTTCTTAGTGGACCCCAAGCAAATAATTGGTACTTCTTTGCACGATTCAAAACAACAGTCATGGACTTCATGGATTGGTGCTGTATTTCGCCTTGACCACTACACAGCTTTCCAACATCCTGCTTCAGCCAACATCACCATTTCAGGAATGCTTGCGTAAAACTAAGCAGTCACTTTGGACGATTGAGATGCATTATTTGTATGACTGAATACTCATCTTATCTATAACTACACACACAGATTTGCATTACTCACATAGTAATACTGTAGGTGTTTTACCTTCGATGACCACATATTACGCCGATATTACAGGATACAGTGAACGGTTGTGTGCCTCATCAGGGTGCTAAATATCTTATCGAGTTCAAAAGCCGTGCGATTCGGTGAAGAAAATTTTATTTCTTATCTAGATAAAGACTTCTGTAGCCACCAACACAACAGAGTTTCAAAATATTGGTCGAACAATCCCAGAGTTCCATATTCGCCTATAAACGTCACTATAATAGAAAAGCTAGTTTATGATTACTCAGAAAAGCAAATGTATATGAAAAGTAGTCTTTCACATATTGACATCTGATGTAATTTAGTCCAGGTCTGTAAATGACAAATTACAAAAATAGGTTATTTGTCGACATTTACTATCTCTAGATGTACACTGATAACTTGTTGACATATTGTATTCAAGTGTTGGTTTTGTAGGGAGTTGGTTTGATTGTATGGAGGATTTAATCATGAGCTGACATCAGTTAGAGAACCACTGGAAAACCTGGGAGTACTGGACAGCTGTTTCGTCCTAGTTTGGGACTTCTCATCAGTACGCTCCATATTGTATTCACTCCACTGTTTTTTTGGGCAAGAAATTATCAATTTACATGACATAAGAATCGAAGAGTGGTCACACTGTGGTTAAAAATCAAAGGTTTTGTGATAATTTGTCATTATAAATTATTGATATTTTTGTGGAAGGTTATTTTCTCCTTATTTTGTACACCTCAGTAATGTATTTTAAATTTTTTAAACTAATGTTTATTTGTTGTGTTCTTTTTCTCCTGCCTCTATTATGCTTTTGTTCAGATATAAAAACCTCTCCTCTTAACGAATCCTGTCACTTAGAATTATGGCTTGTGTTGTACTACATCACCTTATCATTGCACTTATTATAGCCATGGTGTGCACATTTTCCATTAGGTGAGTTTTAGGGTTTTGGGTATCTGAAAAGTCAAGCGTTTTTAACAGGTCATATTAATGTATGTGTAAAACTTCAGCACTGTGGTAGTAAGTAATTCCATATTAGTTTGTTTATTAGATATATCACACAGTGAAACAGTATTATTATTTACTGGATGACGTATCGAATACAATTTACTGCTCATAATCATATCAATTGTAATCACACGACTTTGAAACCTGAGTTTTATAGTTTTCTTTGTCTTCTCCTATTTGTCGTCGTTGGGGTAGTAGAATTTTCCAGATACCTAGCTGGGACGGGTGTTGAATCTTTCCTATTACACGTATTTGCAGTTGATTCGATAAACAAAGCTTCTGTTATCAATCTCTCCCTATACTCTATGACATTAGATTTTAAAACTGTCATCCTATCCCATCCTGTTGTATGGTTGTGTGTAACTGCATGTAGTGAGCGGTATAGCTGAACTATTCTCTAGATTTCTTATCTTATTCGGGTCAACCAATCTAGATTTACCTAGGTTTTTATGTTCGGCTAGTCTGACTGCCCCTGTTCTTCTAGTTTGACCTACGTATTTGACCTGACAATCATTGCAGGTAGGGTATTAGATAAACTAAATTGTTTTGTTTTAAAGGCTCCACAGGATTGATGCTTTAACCGACAAACCTTGTTTCTAATTGAGTTTGTGGGTTTGAATGCCGGCCACTTTTATCCCTGCCTTGTGAAGAATTCCGCGTAAGGTTTCCGAGGTTCGTCCCTTGTGTGGAATTACCACTGATGATTTAGATTCCTTAGTGTTGGTGTCGTCATTAGTATTATTATTATCACTATTATTTTTATCATTATTGTTGTTGTTTATTATTATTATTATCACTTTCGCTGCCTCTATAGCCATATTTATTGGTATACGTGTATATAAACTGAGAATGTTAAAACTAACCATTTTTTCTTCGTTATCTTATTTTAAATTATCTAATCTGTGTTTTAGTTCATAAGAATTAGTTAGTCTAGATTTCGATTTAGACCACATAGAAGTTAAACATTTAAACCGCGATGGGAAGTTAACCACTAGTGTCTACAGGAAACCCACACATTCAAACAGATATTTGGACTGATAATAATAATACTAATGACGACACCAACACTAAGGAATCTAAATCATCAGTGGTAATTCCACACAAGGGACGAACCTCGGAAACCTTACGCGGAATTCTTCACAAGGCAGGGCTAAAAGTGGCCGGCATTCAAACCCACAAACTCAATTAGAAACAAGGTTTGTCGGTTAAAGCATCAATCCTGTGGAGCCTTTAAAACAAAACAATTTAGTTTATCTAATACCCTACCTGCAATGATTGTCAGGTCAAATACGTAGGTCAAACTAGAAGAACAGGGGCAGTCAGACTAGCCGAACATAAAAACCTAGGTAAATCTAGATTGGTTGACCCGAATAAGATAAGAAATCTAGAGAATAGTTCAGCTATACCGCTCACTACATGCAGTTACACACAACCATACAACAGGATGGGATAGGATGACAGTTTTAAAATCTAATGTCATAGAGTATAGGGAGAGATTGATAACAGAAGCTTTGTTTATCGAATCAACTGCAAATACGTGTAATAGGAAAGATTCAACACCCGTCCCAGCTAGGTATCTGGAAAATTCTACTACCCCAACGACGACAAATAGGAGAAGACAAAGAAAACTATAAAACTCAGGTTTCAAAGTCGTGTGATTACAATTGATATGATTATGAGCAGTAAATTGTATTCGATACGTCATCCAGTAAATAATAATACTGTTTCACTGTGTGATACATCTAATAAACAAACTTACATGGAATTTATTAAGTCATGTTAGATGTACAGGGTGTATGATATCAGCACAAACTTCCAATAAACGTCAGAAATTGAGTTTTCCTCATTGTTATAATCTTTTCATCGAAGTGCGAAAATAATTCATCGTAAAATATGTGGCTGACCATCAAGTGTATCAATTCACTCTTTGCTACTTAATTTACTGGAATCATCAAGGTAAATTGTTCTTAAGTAGAAATTTTATTATGAAACTGTTGATCCTGAGTCATTTTGATTAGTCTTTTTATAGTAACATAACTGATGTAAAAGTTTTAGTGTAGCGGTGGATTCACGTGAAATGTGTTGGTAAATATTTAGCAATGAGTGAATTTTCTAATTCAAATTTGTTATGATACTTAGTTTACTAACTCATGTTATTGAGCGATGTGAAAATTCAAAGTAAAACAGCTAAATTAATAGCAAAGTCCATTGAAGGAAGCACTGTTACTGATCATTGAAGGCCAAATGCAGCATAATATAGGGGGTTCTTGCAGTTTCACTCATGTATTCAGAGAAAATGGAAACAATGGACAGATGCATTTTATGACAACAGATTTGTCCGAATATGATCGGTGGAACTATTTATTGTTTTTTGGGTGTTTCCTAAGAATGTTTGTTCACTGCTTATTTCAAACTATCATTTTAGCTTGTGCAACAATAGTTTAGAAGTACTTTGGTGTGGTCATAATTACTGACTGCTAACTAGACATGCAGAGTTTTGCTCTAATTATCTGAAAAATATAATCGTCTAGTTGATCTTTGATTTGATAGTCTTGCTGGTATGACTTGGAATATGCCTTATTGATATTTGTGGAATCTAAGTTGTTATACAACTTCCCCCTATTCCGTTCTTTGTTCTATTGTCTTTGAGTAATTTGCTGCTAATGTTGATACTACATTTCTTGTTTTTCTTCTCATAATACTCCTCCATATTGGTGTAAACTTTTGCAATACGCTTTGTATTCTTGTAGTGTCATTATCTACTTAAAAAACGTCTATTTGCCTGTACTAACCCTATTACTAAAGCTGTGTAGCTTCACATCTGCGCTTTAATATGTGTTCGTGGTCGCGAGATCATGAAAGGTACCCGCACATCAGAAGGAGAACTTTCTTAATATAACACCATTGAAAAAGGTAGCACCACCAAGCAAGTGTGTAGTACTTCAGTACAAAGCTTCATCGTAAACCCCCGTCAAGTTATTCACCCACTCTCTAAAATAATAATTGATATATGTTGTGTGTTTTGAAAAACGACAGACGCTTGGCACCTGTTACAAAATACGATTTTTGTTGACTGTAGACAGATTACGTCGTAGTTGTTATTGTGCACATTATAGCTCATGAATGTATGTGTAAAAGTTGGACAGTTTAGTAGTGTGTTATTGCGTATTAATTTGTTTATTAGGTATATTACACTGTGAAACAGTATTATGCACTGGACGACATTTAGATAACAATTTATTGTTTATAATCCTACCATTCCAGTACTGATATAAGTGTGAACGACAAACATATTAATATGGAATTTAGCACTTTAATTTATCCGTATATTTACTGAGTGTTATTTCTACCGAGTCTTACTAATATCTACATACCTGTAATATCGATTTTGTTCTTCGAAGCGTTGAATCTGCATCACCATTCTTTTTTTATTCCTTCATCTTCCCACTGGAACATAGGGCTTCAAGCTAGAGGCTTGAAGTTTCTTTTGCAGTGTTTATTATTTTTACAGGATTGGGTTGTTAGCCTCATGCCCAACCTTTCCTCTTTACCAGCATTATTACTAGCTTAGCGAGGTAAAGGAGTGTGTCGGTGGCCGGGGATTGAATACCGGACCGTGTGCATGGTTGGCAAGCTACCTAACCGTTGTGCCACCGATTCACTCATCACCATTCCGACGAACCGTAATCCCAAGCAGTTATTACATAATCGAAGCCTCAGAATTACTATGTCTTAGCACTTTTATAGCATGCTTACTTATGTTTCATACATGTGTAAAACTTGGGCACTGTGGTAGTAAGTAATTCCATATTAGTTTGTTTATTAGATATATCACACAGTGAAACAGTATTATTATTTACTGGATGACGTATCGAACACAATTTATTGTTCATAATCATATCAGTTGTAATCATACGACTTTGAAACTTGAGTTTTTTGTTCGAAACGTCATCCAGTAAATAATAATACTGTTTCACTGTGTGATATATCTAATAAACAGACTAACATGGAATTACTTATGTTTCAGTCATAAATCAGTCACTCAACAACTCTTCGTGGTTATTGTTCGAGTTCAACATCTGATATGCTTGATTTCAAAAACTGTTATGTGTGTGTTTAGTTTTGTGTGAAGTTTGGAAAAAAAAATATCAAATAGACTCAAGGAACTGTGGCTCTTATTGTCTCTAAAGGTTCAAGTAACCAATCCTATTTGATTACTTTTTGATATCATGGAAGCCTAATTAATTAATATCCGGTAAACATTTGTTTGTATTTTGCAGCTCTTATAATGCATGAAATAGAAATATTTCTCGAACTTCATTTTTCCTGTTACGTTACATACTATAGCGATTTTCCCTTTCCTTCTTTCTTATTCAGTTACTTAATTTCTGCCTCAGACCATCATATCTCTGTTTTATTTCCATATATAAGGTGAGTATACACAATACATAAGTTAATATAACTTAACCATGAATGTTGAAATTATGCCTTTACACTTAAATTGATATTATTATTTCATGTTTCCTTGGATACCCAGGGAAATACAGGGCTTCAACCACTCATCTCCACTCCGTTATATTTTCTGCTATCTGCTTCAGCTGGGCCCACGATTGTCTATAATCTCTCATCTCCTTCAACTCGCACAACCTCATCCATGTCACCCTCGCACTGACAACCCATTCGTTGTTTTCCACTCGGGTTCCACTTGAGCGATGGTCTGCATTACGCGTGATTTAATCGGACAGTCTCTTCAACGTATACCTAATCCATCTACATTTTCTCCGACAATTTTTGAACGATAAGCCAACCTACCACACCAAAGGCCCCCCAAGAAAAGCACAAAGAAAATCACCCTGCCATATATAAAGGACATCTCAGAAATCACTGTAAGACTCTTCAAACCTTTAGGAGTTGAGGTCACACACAAACCAACAAAATCACTTCACTCAGTTCTATGTGAACAAAAAGACTCATCAACGAAAGAAAATAAAACCAACATCATCTACAAAATAAATTGTAACAAGTGAGAAAAACACTACATTGGCCAAAGTGGACGTCACTGTCGTCTTCATATCCATGATCATAAGCTAGCCGTCAAAAGATATGATATCCACTCCCTCATATCACTACATACAGACAACCACGGACATCATTTCGACTGGGACAACGTCCAAATATTGGACAGAGGAAACAACAAGAAGGCTAGAGAATTTTTAGAAGTTCATGAATAATTCCCATTCGAACATTAGTAGACAGAAGACAAATAGTTCAGCGAAGAGTCTCTTTTCGGCGAATTCATTTTCATAGCTGTACAATCGCAAATATATGTGGTTATTTTGTGTGTGTGTGTGTGTACATTAAATTTGTCAAACGAAAATACAATTAGTAGGTTCAGATGAATTGGATGTTGATAAGAGGATAGCAACAAAAGTGATGAGTTGTCAAAAACGATTGTTAAAGAGGAGTAAGTTCAGGTGAATTGGATGTTCATATAAGAGGATAGTAACAAAAGTGATGAGTTGTCATAAATGATTGTTAAATAAGAGTTACGTAATGGCATGAATAGTTTGATGAATGAGTTGTGCTCAAAGGGTGTACATGGAAACAAAATAATATACAGAATTACACAAGGGTTTTAAGTTAGAAAAATAAGCATACAAACAGAAGTAAGGTCAAATCAAACAAACAAAGAAAAATTAGGTCAAATCAAAGGAGTAGTTACCATGCGAGTAGAAGTGGTTGGATAATTTTCTTTTGTATGCATAGTTCTGGTTCCTCCAACTGGATGGCTAGGGCTTCTGCGATGCAAAGAAGACGGAATCGTACTGTCTCTGTAAATAAAAAAAAAAAAAAAAAAAAGGTTGTTCTTCACTTTGTAGATTACTTTGAAGGAGGCGTTCGTTGAGATGGAATGACCAGTATTGACGAGATGTTCGATTATTGCACTCCTTATATGGCCATTATTTCCTTTCTGTAGCCACGCTGGATAGTGTTCTTTTACCCTTTTAGACAGGATGCGCGTTGAACGACCGATGTACCTGGCTCCACAGCAACAGGTGAACTGATATATACACATAGAAGTGGTCATGTGCGGAATCTTGTCCTTTGGGTTTCTGCAGATCAGCGGGCGACTGGAGAACACTATTCTTAGTGTTGCCGCAGGGAAAGTTCTTCCTAAAGAGGTGGAAATTCTCCTTCTGAGGACGTCACTAAATAGGTCTCCTTTGAAGTCTAGGTTCATATAAAGTATCTTTTTCGGCACGGATAGTGTCTCTTGCTTTTGGTTTTTCTGTTTGATGTTTTTCTCTACAAATCTTGGTGGGTAGCCATTTTGTATGAAGATTTCTTTCAGGAAGTTTAGTTCTTCTTCCTGAAAGAAATCTTCATACAAAATGGCTACCCACCAAGATTTGTAGAGAAAAACATCAAACAGAAAAACCAAAAGCAAGAGACACTATCCGTGCCGAAAAAGATACTTTATATGAACCTAGACTTCAAAGGAGACCTATTTAGTGACGTCCTCAGAAGGAGAATTTCCACCTCTTTAGGAAGAACTTTCCCTGCGGCAACACTAAGAATAGTGTTCTCCAGTCGCCCGCTGATCTGCAGAAACCCAAAGGACAAGATTCCGCACATGACCACTTCTATGTGTATATATCAGTTCACCTGTTGCTGTGGAGCCAGGTACATCGGTCGTTCAACGCGCATCCTGTCTAAAAGGGTAAAAGAACACTATCCAGCGTGGCTACAGAAAGGAAATAATGGCCATATAAGGAGTGCAATAATCGAACATCTCGTCAATACTGGTCATTCCATCTCAACGAACGCCTCCTTCAAAGTAATCTACAAAGTGAAGAACAACCTTCCAAAGACAGTACGATTCCGTCTTCTTTGCATCGCAGAAGCCCTAGCCATCCAGTTGGAGGAACCAGAACTATGCATACAAAAGAAAATTATCCAACCACTTCTACTCGCATGGTAACTACTCCTTTGATTTGACCTAATTTTTCTTTGTTTGTTTGATTTGACCTTACTTCTGTTTGTATGCTTATTTTTCTAACTTAAAACCCTTGTGTAATTCTGTATATTATTTTGTTTCCATGTACACCCTTTGAGCACAACTCATTCATCAAACTATTCATGCCATTACGTAACTCTTATTTAACAATCATTTATGACAACTCATCACTTTTGTTACTATCCTCTTATATGAACATCCAATTCACCTGAACTTACTCCTCTTTAACAATCGTTTTTGACAACTCATCACTTTTGTTGCTATCCTCTTATCAACATCCAATTCATCTGAACCTGCTAATTGTATTTTCGTTTGACAAATTTAATGTACACACACACACACACACAAAATAACCACATATATTTGCGATTGTACAGCTATGAAAATGAATTCGCCGAAAAGAGACTCTTCGCTGAACTATTTGTCTTCTGTCTACTAATTTTTAGAAGCTTGGCATTCCAGTGAATCATCAACCAATAGACGCATCGAGATAGACAAAATTTATCAACCGATAAGAAAGAAACCTCACACACATAGGGTCAAAGTTCAAGTCAAAGAAACAATCAGTTCCAATACAAGCAGCCTAGAGGATGTGAAAACACACAAGAACAACCGCCCACGTCCAAGGTCACCAGGAGAGATGACTGATAAACTAATAAAAACGTTTGTAAATTATGCTGTAGATAATCGTGTAATTTGTTCTTATAGCTTGCTAAAATTTAATAATAACAGTCTTTTTCTCAAAACTTTATAATCTGTGCATAGTGTGCATTCGCACTAGTTTTTGTACATTCAGTTAATTTGCGTTATTATTTATCAAACTGTTAGTACATAAGTCTATCGTGTGTACTAATCACTAATTAAGAATAGAGATTATTTTCTGCTAAATTAATATGTCTAGCAAACAATTTCGAAACACTTTTACTTATACTTGTTTTGATTTTATGGCTTACCTTATATCCCAGTGTAAATCTGATCATTGTCATTGATGGCTTTTAAGATGCTGGTTAGAGCATTCATCACAAATTGTGCATCGATGGCACAGTGGTTAGGACTCTCGACGACCATGCACATGGCCCGGGGTTCGAGCCCACGCCGGCACACACCTGATATCTATGGTCGGCCTGCGAAATTCGGGCTACCGATATCCACGCTGAAAATTCCATTCTTGTGCCAAAAATACAGTGTGGAATCAAGCTGTAATCAAAAATAAAAATAAATAAATTTTGTGGAATATTATTAATCTGTCCCACAACGCCCTGTCTACTCCACAATGTTGTTTATGCTTTTGGTTTCAAGAAAAGTGTCTGGAATTAATTTGAGTACTGCTTCGTTTGAAATGGTGACATCGCTATCAATAATGTTGTCCTCATAGGGTTTTTATTAATGTTGTTCCGATTATTGATCGGTTATTTCTTTTTGTCTGCCATTAGTGAAATGTGGCAGCATTCAAAAATCAGGTGATAACGTTGATCTCTAATTTGAATAAAAGGTGGAACTCCTTTTTTTGAGACATTTATGTTTGGATAACGTGTCAGAATGGTAACTGTGAACTGACTGACCAAACAGTATTATCCAATATTTCAGATTTGTGGCGATTTCAACTAAATTTCAGTTTAGATTTCATCATGAACCGAAATCATTTGTAGAATCATTAAAACACAAAAGTGCACTAGACTCGTGTCAGTGGATTGATACCGAGTAGGTGAATAATCAAGGTGTTGGCTTTGCAACCTGAAGATGCTGATTTCGATCCTTAGTGAGGTTGTTGACGCACACTACTGAAGAATCCAAATGCAGTAAGAAAGGTGTTGCCTAATAACAATCAGTGTTGAATAGGTGTAGGAGTACACAGAATGAATAATTTTTATTAACCAATATGCTACCCTGATTTCTAAATCATCTGCACTGTATGCTTAGCAATAAGAATGATATATAGAAAGGCAGAGAAAACTTATTAACCAAACCCTCCTATTCAGTTAATATTACAACATGAAGGGAAACTATCTTCCTTTGTTTAAAGTCTTCCCTTACTAGTTAGTTTAGATGTATCATTTCTTGAAGGTAATTCTATTTTTATTTGCTAGATTTTAGATGTCAATTGTTAGGTCCTGGTATTTGCTGGCTGTTCCCAGTAGGACATGTATTCAATCTTTGGGGAACTTACATTATATCCCGTCTTTGAACTTGTGTATATAATAGTGTTGTGATCCATAACTTTGAGTGCTTACTGTGTGGTCGATTGACTCTTATAAACACAACTATGGCCAAGCAAATTTGCTGATTATCATCCGAATGCCATTTTATATATTTCACCATTTTTATTACGATTCTTTACTGGCGTTCTGAATAGAACATAGGGCTTCGCAGGCGCATCTATTCTGTACTAGGTCCCCTGTCATCGATTTCAGCTGGTTCTACCATTGTCTTCTGACCTTCGTTTCCTGTTCACATAGTCCTCCTCCTATTCCCTCACAAATCAAGTTCAGCACCTTAAAACTGAAGGAAGAAGCTGCGATGGACACGTTAACAAAAGTCATCGGGAAGAAGTTGAAGGCAATGGACAACATCACTGGGAAAATTTTCCTGAAAGAACAATGGAACTCTCTGAAACACATGTGAAAGAAGGCCTCTATAGATTACTTAGACTAGAAGAATGGGCAGGATAAAGAATGTAGCTCCGTGGGCACTTGGAAGCTGGTAGATTAAAGAATGATAATGCAGCAGAAGATGAGCTGGTGTAGAGGTAAATGACGAAAGGAGAAGTTTATTATACTTTACAATACACTGAACAAAAGAGTGGGGAAGAGTGATAGCAATTTCAAAAGAGGCTTTTATAATGCACTAGAAACTGAAGCAGAACAGCCCGCCGGTAAGATGAACCTCACAACACTACATCAAATAACCAAGTCCCTATCCTGAGGGAGATCAGAGCAGGTGAAACCAGGGTAAAATAGTGAAGGTTACCTAGTTACCAAAAAGTTAGAGAAGAATAATCACTGAATTAGCCACTTCAAAGTACTCCTGAATCACCCGATACCTGCAACTTGTCTAAAAATACCACCAGCAGACAGAGAATCACCAACCCTCAAACAAAAACAGAAGTCTTGAAGGCTGTGAACGTAGTCTTAACCAAGAAAGAAGGAGCACCAGATGAAGTACCCAACAAATATGCAGACATCAACTGAGCAAACCTCTTAGTGACGTCATACTCTATGTAGGCTCTCAAGTGGAACCTAAATGGGAAATGGCAGGTTCGACATTGAAGTTTTTCATGAAAGTGATCATATTTAACTCTAAGCGTAAGTAAATAATTATTTTCATCGTGCATTTATTTAAATAATATGTAGTGATATACTTTCAGTAAATCTATTTTGTCCAGTGATCAGTAGCTTCATGCATACTTTTTTAATTCAGTGACACTGGAGCCTTACCACCGGAAAGTTGTGTATTTGGTCAGCTACTCAACATATGTTCATTTTTAAGTAAGTTTCATGACTTATTATAATTTAAATTTTTATTGTCATTCATTATACCAATAAATTGTTTTTCACAAAAAATCATACAATATATCTTCAAATTTTCCATTACCATTATCAGACTTTCTCATCCCTATTAAGTTTAAAAAAGTGTTATTCATTGAAATATTTTTTAATGTCTCAGGAATGTGTACGGAGAACTGATAGAACCAATGACAGAGGGGTTTTAACTTTTACAATCAAAATATGAGAGGACATTTCTAGGTATATAGGCGAAGTCATCATGTTGGCTCATAAGAATTGTTACTGAAAATATTAAGGAATCCCAAAATAATTATACTTTATTAGTGGGAGGGTTTAATAAATACTGCCTTTACCAACCACATATCTTATCGCTGTGAGGATTAATGTTGTCTCTTTTGCGGCTGTTTTGAGTTTAAAAACAGCTGTGAAAAGAGTGTGTAAGATCTTTGTGAACAGCTATTAGTTTAAATATAGTTATATTTCAATAGTTTATACACACAATGATAAGTTTTGTTCTTGGCAATATTTCGAGCGAAATTACTGCCCGTGTTCACACCACTGTTGAAATTGTTTTTTTTAATTCGTTATTAGTTTAACATTGCCATGATAGTTGTAGATTGATGGATTTGTAAGAGTATTACTTGACTTAAGGTAGACCTCAAAAATAAACGCTCTTACAAAAAATTTCACCGTTTTATGACCTTAGTAGCACTCTACCTAATGTGTAAGTATTGACGAACGAAATCAAAGTAAAAAGACTTGAGATGATAAGTGTGTCTGGACAGAGTTACATTTTATAAAAATGAAGTATGAAACTTGATAAATAAAGGGTTTATCCAACTTATCTGGTGCCTTGATTGGTGGTAGGCTCGGAGAGTGTACTGAATGAAAGCACAACAAGAGAGCGAACCAAATATGTACAGGAGAGTTAAAACTCAAAAGATGAAGTAGTGCCAAACGAGTGGTTGAGTGAGTTCAAACAAAAGTTCAAAGGTTTAATGTACACTACAGCTTATCCCCCCCCGTGCCTTAGAAGGTTGGTAGGAAACTAGCAAGCTTCGGCATACAAAAGTAGCGAGGCTTTGTACAATAACAGTGAATGAACAAGAAAGTTTGAAGGTAGTAATAATTTTAAAAAATTGCGAAAGGAAAGAAAAAAAAAGTTAAGGCAATTTAGAGGCAGTATGTACATGATTAGTGGAGTAAGACGGAATATAAGAAGAAATGACGCTGGTGCCTTGGTGCGATTGCAAGCTTCTGAGTTGTTTGGTTTTTTTTATCTTTTTTTGTTGTTATTTTTTTACACCGTTTGTTTCACTTCGTCTTTTTTAGTATTTATTATTTTTATCGTATTCTTATTTATTTGTTTTTTTAACTGCGTTCTGTTACGGGTTTACTTATGTGGAATTCTGATGGTATACCTCAGTTGCCTAGGTTTTCAAAGCGGAAAGGTGACTCATTAGGTCTAAGTTCCGTTTTAGACTAATGCTTCACTCCTCCGCTTCAACAGAAACTAACAGCAATGCTAAAGGAATACATATACCAGCGTATTAGAATGAACAAGGTGAAAGTAACGGAAAAGAATGGGAGAAGAGGTTAAGATTTCAGAATCGGCATAAAGGTATTAAAGAAACCTGGCGGAATAAATGCGAGGAAAACTGGTGTAACATGGGAGTGATACGTCAGATTGAAATGAAACAAAGGAAGCTGATAACCTGTGAAAACTTATAAAAGTTACAGAGAAGTGTATATATAACCAATAGTTATGAGCAGTTACCATTATCATTGGATCGGGTCCCAGTGGCTTAATGGTATACGAGCTAGCTCGCCTTGTAACCAGAAGGTCCTGGGTTCAAATCCCGGCGGGTGCGTACTGATGAAGAGTCCCAAACCAGGACGAAACACCTGTCCAGTACTCCCAGGTTTTTCAATGGTTCTCTAAATAATGTCAGCTCATGATGAAATCCTGTAAAGTAATCAAATCCCTACAAACCAACACTTGAAAACAAAAGTGTTACGACCTGTATAATTAACGTGATGCATTTATTCTAACTGGTGCATCATATTTTTGCTGCACTTGAAGAATATCACCGAATGTGTCAGTGGTCTAAACATCTCCAATAAAAGTACATAAGACTTTCCAAATAGTTATCAATTGTTCATTTCATTCTCTCCTGATTTTTCTCCGCCAATTGTGCAGATTAAACTACATGCTACTTTTTAATTCACCCACTTCTTCAATGTACACATATGTCTATATGCGTAATAAGAAGTTATACTTGGTCTCGTAAATGGGCTCAGTAAAATCACATATCAACATTTTTAATATCCATGTGCTATATGAACTGATCAGAAATCTGTAATTCATTAAAGTTTTAGAACTAAAGGTACATGTCAGTAGCACCTGAAAACAGGATTAAGGCCTAAACGTCTCTTTGACCTATTTTGGTCAGGTTGGTAAAATATATATATTTTCTATACACTTCTAACACCTGACCGGATCTTGCAACTCGATATTATTACATATTTCATTTCATTCTTCTGAGGTGATTTCGTCCATGAGGCAAGTTAGAGAGCACACTTCATACAGTCGATATTTATTGAGCATTTTTTCTCTGCCACCAGATAACTGTGAGATGTGTTGTTTTATATACTTGGTAAATTTTGAATATGATACACCAGTCCAATCTATTAAACACATAGTCTTACAACATTTCATAGGTTCACACGCACATTTTGTCAACATATTTTCTTTAACAGTACTAGTTTATTTGTACACCTTTCTACAAGCTGACTTATTCTATAAAGAATCGGAGGTAAAGTAAACAGAATTTCTACCTATGATGCACACATAATTAAGAGGCCAGCAGGATGCTGATAAAGACCACTCTTAATCTACATCATTTGTCGTCGTCGTCATCATATCAAATAATGATTCACTATAAGTCATTACAGATCTGCAGAACTTGAATAGAGGACCACTGGTTAGCATACTTTGCTTTCTTTCTTAAAGCCAGATACAATTAGATTCTAGATGATTGGAAGCAATCAGCAGGAAGCCTTGGACCTAGGTTTTGTGCTAGTTGGCACTCATCAGCAAGGAGTATCTGCAACCTTGAAGGAACTCATGTGCCTTCTGAGATTTGAACCCGCGTCACCCAGTGCTGTAGTCAGAGATGTTACCACTGAGCTATTCGGGCTCGCGATTGACCTCCTGTAGACAGTATTGGGTATTTTGATTGGACATTAGTAACTAGTGTGACGTTTCTAGTCCTTTCTTTGGTTCACACTGAATTTTATCAGTCAGGTTTGCAATGTGGCCACCATTCTAGGCAGCTAGACATCACGGTGCACATTGATTTGATGATATTAGATGGTTGGTCCAAGTCTTCCTGCCGATTGCCTCTAACCATCTAATATCATCAAATCAATGTGCACCGTGATGTCCAGCTGCCTAGAATGGTGGCCACATTGCAAACCTGACTGATAAAATTCAGTTTGCTCCAAAGAAAGGACTAGAAACGTCACACTAGTTACTAGTGTCCAATCACAATTAGATTCTGTCAATGATAAGTGCTAGGCATCAGTTTTCTGAGCTGTTTGTAACAAGGTTGTTCAACGTTCTTCTTTTTCCACCTGAATTCCGTCTTGTTTCATCTTGTTTATTTTCAGTCAACTTTTTTTGGAAAGTTCAGTTAAGTATCTGTTACAGTGACTAGGATAATATTCTGATAAATCTGATTATCATAGTGCTTTTCTCATGCCTATATAAACATGGTTGGTGTCTAACACAAATTCTCGCCTAAATTCTATGCACTAGATATTTAATCCGATTATTCTAATCTACACTGATTAATTGTTCTATATTTATTTCCCGATTCAGGTATCCTATGTATTTATGGGTGGTATCTACATGAATGTGTTGTAATACATTCGCGTGGTGGACCTCATTCTCACATTATGTTTGCTCGTGTTACTTGTTTTATTGGTTGTTTATCTGCTCTTGGAATGTCGATGGTTGCTAATTTCCAGGTATCAGCTTTGATATTTATATTCTTGTCAAATTTCTTTACCCCATTCGTCTGCATATATATGTATGTATATATGTAATTGTGTCACTGGGTTCAAGAATCAATGATATAGTAAATAATATCACGAGTTTATATAAAGCACAAACGCTTTTGAAAATTATGTTGTAAACGAAAGTGAACATTTTGTATGTTATATTACACCTAACACCGATTTTATCTAATATATAATAGGTTCATTCATTTTTCAAAACCACGCATAAAGTGACTTAGCTGAATTAATTGATATTAATTCTTTAATATAACAATTGTTTAACAAAAGTCTAATTCACTTTACTGAATTCTATTTATTATTATTATTATATCCTTTATTTCCTAGAAGAACATAGGACTTCAACTGCGCATCTCCATTGCCTTCGGTTTTCTGCCAACTCCAAGTCTGCCCACATGCTTTCATCTCCTCTTCACATAACCTCCTCCAAGTCACCCTTGCACCGACGACCAACTCGCCGCTTCCCTTTTAGGTTCCACTCAAGCAATAACCTAGTGTGTGATGTCACTTGATGGTTTCCTCAGAGTATGGCCAATCCATCTCCATTTCTTCCTGCCTATTTGTTTCATAATCGGTTCCTGCTGGGTTGGTTCGCTTCCAGAGATCCTTGTTGCTGACCTTTTCTGACCATCTGATCTTGAGTATTGAGCGAATACAACTGTTAATGAAGGTCTGAATTTTGTCTGAGATGCTCTTTATGACGCGCTGGTCAAGTCTCTGATCCCTATAGTAGCACTGACTGACTTCGCATTGGAGTTGAAAATCCGGATCTTATTTTTGATGGTGAGTGCTGTTGACCTCCACACAGACTTGAGAGTAATGAAAACTTGTCCTGCTTTTACAATTCTGGCTTTGATATCTTCGTCAGTTCCGCCTGGTAGGTAAAGGAGGTTGTTTCTTTCAGGTTCCTCACATTTATGTTGGCTGACTGTTGTCTGTTGTTGTTGTTGCTGTTGGTGTTGGCTTGGAATCTTCATCACCTCTGTTTTATCTATGTTCACCTGAAGTCCTATCTTCGCTGGATGCTTGTTCTGCCAACTTGTTGCTTTACACTTGCATATCTTCCAGTTTGTGGGAAATCAGACATATATCATCCGCGAAGTCCAGACCCTCCAAATTTTTGTGTGAATCCATTTTATGCCTGTTTCCTGATTACCCGTTGTCTGTCGCATTATCCAATCTACTGAAATCAGGAAAATCATTGGCGGTGGTAGACAGCCTTGCCTCACTCCCGTCCTCACTTCTAAGGATTCCGTAAGTTTCCCGTTGTGGATTACTTGGCATGCAGCACTGTCGTACAACTGCTGGATGAGATGTATAATTGTCGATGGCACCCCGTAGTAGCGACGCTGTCGAAGGTCTTTTCAAATTCGATGAAGTTGAGATAGAATTCAATAATTTTCCAAAGTATTTAACCACTATCTCATATAATTCATATTAATAAGAATTCGAATTGACTGTTCACAGAAATCTACCGATCAAGTATAAAAGTTATCACTAATCTTTTAGTGCAGTTTTATCGATGATGTCTGATGCTGACGATTGAATGCCCTAATTTTTTTGTATTCTAAATGAAAACTGAAATAGAATTACTTTTTGTTGTACTAAAGCTGTATGCATATGACAAGTGTTACGTCAGAATATGATATTCTAACTATCACAGTTTCATTTCGATGTATCACCCTAGAAAACATTAAATGTCAAAATAAATTCTGCCAATGCCTGTATACGGCAGATGGTTGAAATGGAAGTCAATACTATAAGTATTTGAATTCTGAAAGAAGAAATTTTGTACTTTAAAGATTAAATTGATGCTGTTATGTGGACAGGATAGTTTAATGGAACACCCGTAAACCTTATTCAATCATTCAAAATAAGTTATTACATCTTTAACCGAGCGTAATTTCACAATTTATTTTTTATTCAAATAAGGTTGTCATTACAGTCATAGGCAAGTTTGTATCTTTGAGTACTATCGTAACTCAGTGACACAGTAGGCACTGAAACTGGTTATTTGTTTTCTATGTTCACTTCTGCATCGTTGTATTATACACGTCTTAGTCTACTCTATCACATCTGTCTGTCTGGATTCAACATAGAACTTGGCACCGAAGTGCAGCAGTTCCAGTTGCCACGTTCCAAATACCACAAAAAGGTAGACAAGAAGATGAGTGAAGAGAATTAATAGACATTGACAACGATTTTGAGCCATGTCACCTATTGTCTCGAGCCATTGTTTCCTAGAGCCCCTGGGGCCCCAACCCGGAAGTTTGCATCTCCCTACCTGACTCAGTTTAACTGTCAATGATTTCATGGACTGATGGCATGTTTTTGTTTGGCCACCACTTACTCTTTTCCAACCTGCACCTATATCAGCTAGTAATGCCCGTCGGGGGAGGCGATGGTTAGGCATGCGCAGCACGTGACCTAGCCATCTCAGTCTATGTAACTTTATAGTCTCGTCGATTGATTTTCCCTCTTTGCCCAACACTCTACGCCTAACGTCAACATTACTTATCTTATTAAACCACTTAACGTGAGAAAGAGATCGCAGAGATCTATGATCAAAAACAGTCAACCTTTTCATGTCTTCAACTCGTATTGGCCATGTTTCAGAGCCATAGAAAAGGACGGAACGAACTGCTGAGCAGTACACACGTCCCTTGGTTGATAGCCGGATGTCGCGCTTACGCCAGAGAAGGTGTCAGTCAGCGAAAGCATCTCGAGCTTTTTGGATCCGTGCTGAGATTTCGTCGCCACTCTATCACATCAATGTATTCTCGCATCAGCCACAACGGGTATATAGGATTACTGAAAAGTAATGAAGTCTTCTTAATTTTCTGACTCTCATTGACTCCTGATTTGTATATGTTTGTATATTAAAGGAGTCACACTTTCAAGCTCAGAATAATAATGATTTACAACCTTTTACTAATTTTTTTTGTTTCAACACGTACTTATTATTGTTGTGTCACGTGTAAAGATAATGATGCATATTGTTGACATTTTGAAATTAATTTCATGAAAATAGCTACAGTTTTGTAACATTTAAATGAGAGGGAAGTCGACTTTTGGTTTGATATCTAGAAGCTGTTTAATTTATTTGAGAAATAACTTGAAGTAATCTAGTGGATGTCAACGTCTATAACATACAACGATTTGTCGGCCAACCTCCACGAGAATACTTTTCTTAGCATGGTTAATAAACGATTTGATCTTTGCGTGGTAACTGCTCGTATGGTCATGTTTTAGGCATTGATTTCACCTATTTTACTTTAATACTTGTAGACTAGTTGGCTGAAATCTTTAGAGTGGCGAAAGTTTGTCAGTGAAGATTTTAGCAAATCTGTTTTGAAATCGACCACCTTTGAAATTCACAAAGTTTACACCATCTTTAATATTTTATCACTTTGGATTTTTATCCTTTAATCTCGCCATCTTATGTCCTCTTTCATGTTGTTTCTTATTTTCAGTATTTGTGTACTTGTAGTCTGCTTAATTTTCTGTAATGGTCTGTTTGTGCTCCTTTGATCTTAAAGTTTGGTTTAAAGTTATCTTTGAAGGCATGAAAATTAAGACACTATTACTGATATAAAAGGCAACATACTAATTAATGTTTATCTTATTGTGCTAGGAATCTGATCACTGGTCACGGATAGACGGTCCCACTTGTTAGTTTAATTCAGTCATTGGACTGCCTAACCATAAGAGTTAAATTCAATGTGAGGAGATTCATAATGTGGTTTTATGTGTGGGTGTAGTAACGACTAGGAATGAATGAAAAGGTTTAAAACGCTTCAATTTTCTATTACTTAATAGAAGCCCATATATGTTACATTTAACTTGTAATCTCTTCACATACATGCCTTTAGTGTTTTTGATAAATAATCGTAGTGTAACAACAGAAGACAAGGGTCGGGAACAGATCGTTTTATTACGAAAATCGGTACGTATTTATATATATTTCCTGTACATTATTATAGCTTATTCAAGTAGAAAAACCCCGTCTTCTGATTGGTTGTTTCGGGTTTTCTCGGAAAGTGGAGCCATCTATCTGCGAATCATATTTGCCCACGTTAAGTCTGGTGTGATTGGTTTTTGAATCAGCCTTGTTCATACTTTCTCACGGCCAATATTAGTGACCTAGCCATTGACGTAGATTAATGTCTACCAATTGGCTAGCAGCCTGCTCTCACCACAGTAGTAAAACTCGTAGTTACATTTGTGTAAAGAGTTATTTCATCCTAGATTTTGGTACATCATGTTGTTCAACAAGATATCTTTTTGTTGCACAGTTTTGAGTAGTTTTATTTTACGAGTGAAACATCGAGAGCTTCAGATGCACTTATTTGCTCATAATTGTATAAGTGTATTCAAGCCGAGCTAAACTACGTAGGTTTATGACAGGGCATAGAATACCAGTCCATTCTCTGCCTTAACTTTATTGACTTCGAAAAGTCTTCGGCAGCGTCAACTGTGAAGTGATTTGAAACTTCTTTAGCACTACAAACTACCCCAAACCGTTATGAACATTTTTTAACAGCTCTATGGTAATGTCACATGTCAAGTGATTCACAACAAAGGTTCAGTGAAGCCTGTGGAGTGAAGATAGGATGAAGACAAGGCTAACTTCTATCACTAATGATATTACTGATTGCGGCGAACTGGATTATTTTGAATGGAAACTAGGTAGTTTCTAATGTTAAGCATCTTGTCTTGCGTCCGGCGCAGACTGAGTTCTATCAGTCAACAGACCGGGGCAAGCAAGAAGACAGAAGTACGCTGGACCGACCAGGAGACTTCAGAAGATCTGGAATTTGCAGATGACTGATGTCTTTCATACAAACTTTAAGTGGAAGACATGAAAAGATTAGCTGTCTTCGATCATAGGTACCTCCTTTCTATCTCCCGTGTCCAGTGGTATAATAAGGTGAGCAATACTGAGGTTAGGCGTAGAGTTCTAGGTAAGGAGGGGAATCAATCGACGAGGCCGTCAAATTACTTCGACTGAGATGGTCAGGACATGTGTTACTTATGCCTAGGCATCGCCTTCTTCGACTGACGGGCAATGTTAGCTGACATAGGGTCAGGGTGGAAAAGAGCTAGCGGCGGTCAAACCAAAACATGGCTCCATCAGTCAATGAAATCCACAACAGTTAGTTTACGCCAGCCGCGTAGCGAGGTGTAGACTGGCTTCCTGATTGGGGTCCACGGGACGGTAAAACCAGTGGTTGGAAACAATTGGTGATATGGCTCAAAATTGTTGTCATTGGCTGGCGCAGATGCATCCATTCCTTGTGAATTATGATTTCCAATGAAACCATATTGTTCTTCGTTATTACATTCCTTTGTCTCACACCTCTGTTTACTGTCTGTATTATACATTTCTTCTACTTTCTTCTCTTGCTTTATGTGCTACATGGGATATGGCGACTTGAACTGCTGCATATCGGTGCAAAGTTCTATGTCGAAAACAGACAGACATACAAACTTTAAGATCTACAGGTGAAAACTAACAAGTTGTTGGAATAAGCAGATAAGACAGAACTTCAAGTGAATAAAGAGAAGACAGATGTGGTAAAGATACCTACCCTATAATAACAAGTATCATTTACTGTTGACAGTAAGGAAGGAAGCAATTCCCTCCTTTCACTTATCTAGGCAGCATCGTTTCAACTACAGGCAGAACAGATAAGGATGTCGAAGTCAACCAGGATAGGAAAGGAGACAAAGACATTCATCTAAAATCAGTATGGAAACTTGTTTCACTTGGCAAAACGAAAAAGACCCCAAAAAGCATTTCCAACAGTCTACTGCAGACTTTCATCCACAACTACTTTCGCCTGCTTAATACTGACGATCAGATAGCTAGAAATAATAGGCAACAAAGAACTCTGGCAGTGACCTAGACCAGAACATGTTGCGCGACAGTCATGAGGAAGAAAATGTATTAGACATTTACTGAGGAGACTGTCGTGTGACATCATGCACTAATTCCTAAAATGGAATGTGAATGTGAAATGATCAGTTGGGCGTTCAAAGGTAACATGGAGTAGATCGTATGAGGAGGAAATGACAGCTTATAGTCAATTGTGGAGCCAGCCAAAAAAGGCTGGAGAGAACAAAGGGAAGTTTAGATATGTTTCTAAAGCCCTATTTCCCATTCGAAACTCAAAAGAAATAGTAATCAATACTATTTGGTGACTGTTGAGTTGATAATGTGGGCCTTTATTAGCTATTTGCACTCATTGGTATGGTGCAAACATGAGAATTCATTTAAATGTTCAGTTACAGACCTATTTGATCAATAGAAGCCTTATTTATTGTCCTATATGGTATGAAGCATAATGGCGTAAGCGAATGAATCACAATTGTTTTACTGAATACCAGTAAAGGTGGATAATAAAGCACCACTTATTATTTCCTCATTAAATAAAAGTGATACAACACTTTTCATGCGAATCAACAGTTAATAGTTATCTATGTTATGTTGGTTTGTGTAGAAATCTCCTCGAGTGAATATTTGAAGAATATAGAAAAGTGACAATACTGTATAGCGTATTGTTTAGCCTACATGCAAACAAATATGGACTAAATTAAAAGTATAATGTTCATTTCGATGAAACCATGGTCCATGATATTTCTTTCACTAGGGTCAACTAGACACAATGTTTATTCTATACTTTCATAAAATAATATTACTGTTTCTTCCAGATAAATTTTAAGTTAATTTTTACGTTTATTTGACGACATATCCTCGTAATTTTTCATATCATGATCTGTTTTCAGATAGGTAAATTTTTGAAGTTGTAATTTGTATACCTAATTAAACATAAGTAGTTGATTGTATAATTGATACATTTCCGAAACTTGTTATCAGCATTACATCAACTATGGATTATCTGTTTTATTGTAGGAAGCTACTCTTCTAACCGTCCATTTGATGGGGGCACTGATGGTTTTTGGACTGGGAAATGTATTCACTGTTTTGGTAACTTATTCTACAAGAAAGCACTTAGAATATAACCAAAAGATATTTGCTATACGCGTTATTTTATGCACTATCATTTTTTTGGCTCATATAGGAAGTATGTATTTATTTTTTTTTGTTTGTTTGAAATTTTGTTTATTAAGTAATTTTTATTGAAAGTCAAGTATATATGGGACTTTGTCGTGTTTCCTACTGGTAGAACAACTGACGGCTTTTTTCTCTTCTGTTTTGGCGGACATTTGAGATGTTAAACTATTCCCAAAACTGTTATGTTTAGTTTATTGACTCAGTGAGGATGGATGTCCCACCGACGACAATGGTTGAGGTTGCGCTAAATCACGATTTGGTAGATGTTAGAATTCATGGGCTGGCCATTAAATCGGGTCCCAGTGGCTGAATAGAATACGAGCTTGCCTTGTAACCAGAAGGTCCTGGGTTCGAACCCGTAGTGTGGGTGCGTACTGCCGATGATTCCCAAACTAGGATGAAACAGCAGCTGTCCAGCACTCCCTGCTGGTTTTCCAATGGTCCTCTAAATGATATCAATCTGTGATCAACTCGTAAAAATCCAACTTACATTAGGATGTTTTCGTAGTTTTACGAAATGTCCATAATCACTTAGTTTTTAGTGCACTTTTTCATTGCTTTTAAACTATTTGAGGAAAACATCTTTGGAAATTCATCTCTTGTGCATCTGTTATTGGATTACAGCCTTAAAACATATCAGTTAAATTGCAACAACAACAAAAAAACACGAAAACCTCATAGTGGTTGAATGGTCAACGATCTTGACTTATAGCCCAAAAGTCCTGTGTTTGTCATTCGGTGGACTCACGAGTGTGCACTGCTGATGAAGAGCCCCAAACAAGGACAAAATAGCTGTCCAGTATTTCCTAGTTTTCAGTAATCTTGCAACTGAAGTCAGAACAATACATTCTGCAAATGATGGATGTTAGAAAAAAATCAGCTGTTTGTGTTTTAATGAGATGGATAGATCAAGAGTTGTGAACAGCGAAAAAAAAATATTCTCACAACTATAAGTAGGTAAATGATATACACAGAGTTATTTCGCGCACATACTATTTTTAAGTATATTTAAACTGGGCGTCGGTGGCACAGTGGTTAGGACGCTCGCCGACCATGCACATGGTCCGGCGTTCGATCCCCGACCGATGCACTCCTTTACCTCGCTAAGCCAGAAATAATGCTGGTAAAGAGGAAAGGTTGGGCATGAGGCTAGCAACCCTATTCTGTAAAACTAAGCGCTGCTACAGAAACTTTAAGCCACTAGCTTGAAGCCCCATGTTCCACTGAGGAACGTGAAGGAAAAAAATGGAAAGTAAACCACGAGTTTGCTTAATTTGCAAATCAATTTTTCTCTCAAATCAACCCCAGCCAAGAAACGGTTGAAATTTGTATAACAATCGCCATTTTTTCGGAATCTTCAGCAATAATCACCTCACCGTTATATGTAATAGATTTCATGACACTCAGAACTCTTAAGAAGTTGTTATTATTCAAACACATTTTAAACGCAGTGGTTTGTGTCTTTCATTTTCTTACGTTTCTTTTTGTAAAGTAAGATTCCTATCCTAGTTGAATGGAATATTTGAAGTAAGCTCAGACAAAATTAAATATTACTGACATTCTAAGTATTATATGGTAGTAATGACAATATCCAATCACCTCACCACTTATTATTTAAGAACATCCTACATATATGGCAGGAAATCGGAACAGTTTTTTTAAATATTTTCCTGATAGTTATTGATTAAAATCTTATCGGATAACAAAAATAATTTAATTGTGGGTTTTAATATACATTCAAATCCCCGTAACCTGTAACTGTCCTAGCAATTTCATAGGTAGCATATGTCATTTTCATTGAATTTGTTCAGGATATTTAAAAAAGTATGCAAATACTGGATAATTAACTTAGTCACATAAATTAGAAAAACCTGGATCCCAGGTCAAAGTACCATTTCTACCAAATTCGGATGAAATATTGCAACTCATTCTAGAGTTGATAAATTAATCAACGTTCACATAACAGAGAAGTTTCATACCGTAGGAATGTTTACTCAGTGTTTTCGATATATATATATATATTGGTTTTTGTAGGGATTTTGTTTGATTGCATGGAGGATTTAATCATGAGCTGACATCAGTTAGAGAACCACTGGAAAACCTGGGAGTACTGGACAGCTGTTTCGTCCTAGTTTTGGGACTCCTCAGCAGTACGCACCCACCGGGATTCGAACCCAGGACCTTCTGGTTACAAGGCGAGCTCGTAGACCATTGAGCCACTGGGACCCGATCGGAGAAGACATTGCGAAGTGGTCGCGCTATATCGTGAACTGGCAGAAGTTAGAATTCAAGGACCATTGGATCGGGTCCCAGTGGCTCAATGGTCTACGAGCTCGCCTTGTAACCAGAAGGTCCTGGGTTCGAATCCCGGTGGGTGCGTACTGCTGAGGAGTCCCAAAACTAGGACGAAACAGCTGTCCAGTACTCCCAGGTTTTCCAGTGGTTCTCTAACTGATGTCAGCTCATGATTAAATCCTCCATGCAATATATATATATATATATATATACTGTATTCATTTTTTCAGCTGCTGTTTTCGGTGCTCTGTGTAGCTCATTAACTATTCCTTTGCCTAAGAAATGGGATCCAAATGAAAAAGTAAGCATTTTCTGCCTCACTTTTAAGGTTTGAAGTGCATAATCTATATTGAATATCAATGAGATGCTCACTAGCGACTTCCTCTATTCAGGTAGGCAGTTACCTGGGGTTCTAGTTAGAAGTCGTGACCAGTAGGGTGCAGCAGGACGGGTGTGAGGACAAATACTCGCCGAAGACATTGGCTAGCGGTCGCGCTATGTCGTGGATTGGCAGAGGTTAGAATTCATGGACCGGCCATTGAATCGGGTCCCAGTGGCTTAATAGTCTACGAGCTAGCTCGCTTTGTAACCAGAAGGTCCTGGGTTCGACTCCTATCGGTGGGTGCGTACTGATAAAGAGTCCCAAACTAGAACGAAACAGTTGTCCAGTGCTCCCAGTTTGTCCAGTGGTTCTCTAACTGATGTCAATTCATGATGAAATCCTGTAATTCATTTGTACAGCAACATATATGTAAGCACTACATTTCTGCATATATATATATATATATATATATATATACCTGGCAGTCTTTTATGTAACCTAACGTTCTGATACGAAGAGTTGAATTTCAGTCATGAAAGTAAAATAGATGATAGCCTTTGCATACATTAATTTTTATTAGTCTTAGTTCTGATTTTTTTCTAAAGTGTCATGTGTATGCTCAATGAGTGTTGTATTATTTATTTTTTTCACCGATAGTCTGACATCATAAATTAAAAGTGTATCTTAACAAAGACTATTTTTTTTTCAATAAATTCTTTTCAGTTTTTAAAAGGCTATAAAATGAAATAGTTATTAATAGAATAACAATTAGTTAGTGTGACTGATACATTTGATGTAGAATAACAGGTTAATTATAGGATGACAATAAATAGTATTTGTGCTAGGCTTTATTTATACAACTACAAATTACTGTGGAATGAGAAAGACTGACGCCGATTAGTCATAGTAGATTTTTACAGTGTGACAGATGAAAATTGACAAGTCCTTACATGATTGTAAAACCTGTTTGTTGAGTGGTGAGTACGAAATAGTATATGTCAATGGGGATACAATAAAACTGCGCTGAATAGTTCATCAAGAATAATGAATATGTGAAATGATTGACGTAGCCTGATGTACTGAATACATACAGACCATCACTAGTAATAAATTAAAATAGTAAATACAGAGAATTCTATAGTATTTGAAAAATACGAGAGAGGAAGGTATAGATTATAAAACATTGTGCCTACAATTGTTGGGACGAAGAGAGAAAAACAAAAACAAGAAGAAAAGATAAGTGGAAAAGACATTGATGAAGCGAAGAAGAGATCATATTCCGAGTTTTGTTATAGTAAAATTTATGCCTCAACGTGTTCTCGTTTCGTCAATCTTATCCCAACACTTTCAGCTATATGTAGAAGACACAGGGAAAATGTGTACACTAATCACTTCATAGTGTTGTATATAACTCTAAAAGCCATATTGGCGTTAATGCAGTATCTTGCATCTACCAAGTTTTTATAGGACTGATAGTTTTACTCAGAAAAGGTAATTTATTGAAGAGAATATTCTTCATTCAAACTGACTTTTGATTAATGATATCGGAATATTTCACAATATGATTCCATAATTGCTTACTTCTTCTTTCTGTTTCTTGTGTGTATTCGGGTATCCTCGAAAATAAAGAACCTTGTACAGAGAAATAAAGGACTTTTCCTACTGAGTAAATATCACTCATGACCTAATAACAAGTAGTGGATTTTGATTACTTTACTGAATCTACATTAAGAAATTGATTTCCCCAACTGGTGAAAGTAGAAACTAAACTTCTAAGATAAGTCTTAGTTTGTTTTTAATCGACTAAATCCAAAATAAACAGTTTAAATACAAATAAGCATTACTTTATTTCACAGCGCAGTTTTTGGATCGTATAGCTGATTGTTTTTATGTTGAATTATTCAGCTTTTTTCGCCTTGTCTCTTCAAACTATCATTCTATTGACATAATAAAAGAAGGTACTTTAATCCTCAGCTGTAAAAATGTTGATTATTCACCTATACGCTTAGCTTACTATCATGAATGCAAAGTACATTAAATTCATGAAAAGATATTTGAAATAATGAATTCGCTGTTTACTAAGCAAACTTCTGAGAAGGCCTTGACTTCCAGTGAAGCTGAAACGCTTAAACCTTTTGACTGAGAATGATGATTTATAAGAAACCTGCAGAAATCTATAGGTGTATATAACTACACTTTAAGTTGGAATGCCGAAAATTTGCGGACGACTTCTTCAAAATCTCCTAACATAGCTTAGGTAATTGAAATTATGATGATAAATGTTTAATCTGACTATAGTCTAATTAATCTCTCTGGAATGCCAAGAACATTTCAATCAAAGCAGCTCATTCAGTCATTACGAGATACAAGCATAACTATTACCGGTTGGGTAATAACTGTATTTTGATCCTTACTGATCTTTCTTCTCCATAAATTTCTCTTATGTTATATTTTTCTTAATGTGTAGATTTATCTCCCATACCTACATATACTTAAACTTAAGTCACTTAATTATTTTTCAGGGGTACGCATTTCATGCGTTGAGCAGTACATGTGAATGGCTGATGGCTTTTGCATTTTTATTATTTTTCGCTTCAATGTCTGTGGAACTGAAAAATTACGTATTAGAGCCTGTTAAAGTAAGTTCATGAAACCTCTTTTTTCTTGAGATATTAGGGAATTTCCTACAGAATATATCTTATCACTGGAATTAAATGTACACGTCAAGTTGCATAGAATAAACAGGACGTGAAATTCAGTTTTTATTTTATGAATCTCGTTACATGTCAGAAAGCTCTATTTCCACGCTAGTACCTCTGTTAATATTCAATTAGGAGAATAACCAGAAGTGTTTCCAATCAAATTATCAGTCGACATTTGATCGCTTGAAAAAATCCCTATACGTAAAAGTGCTAAGGTGAAACGATTTATCACCACAAGATTGAAAATCATAGAAATATATATCCTACAGCTTAATTCGATAAATAAAAGTTATGAGCAGTTGTTATTACCGGAACTACGACCTATTAGACTACGAAGGCGAATAGTTGCTTAATGTGCTGGCTAATCTGTCCTAATGGCACGACAACAATAACACTGCCGAGCCGTAAAGATAGAAGAAAAGACTGGACGTTGATAAGACAGCTTTTACTGTCTCAGAACAACTGTCTGAAAAGGCTGACAACGTTTGCGCACATTCACGTTTAAAGTGACCTTGAGAAGCAATAGTGTCAGTGATAAATCAAGATAGCGAACAACCAATGGGATTTCAGGGTCATAAGTAGGGTGAGAGAAAATCAGGTTGTAAGTCAATAAATGGGTTGAGAGTAATATAAACAGACACTAAAACGACATGTAGAAAATTAAAACCCATATATTAGCAGTATGGTGCTGAAGTCTTGAAATCTTCTCATTAAGTAATTTATCTACTGCAAGCTGTTACCAACCAATAATAAATATTCAGATGAGTAAGATTAGGTTTTATATACCAATGATTCAATTTATTTAACTTATAAAATTCAAGAATTTTAATTCCGTTTCGTAATAATTTTTCCCATCTTATAGTAAAGTGGAATTTAGCCGAATATTTTCTTGAATCCTGGTTAGTAGTTCATAGCCTAATTGTTAAATTGATATAAGAAATCAGACACTTTAACCGCTGAATTCGCTTTACTACAATGGGTTGCAATATTTGTAGCCTACACAGCTTGAAATGAAGTGTGCATTCAATTTGATATTAGTATTAGATATTATTTTAAAAAATGAGTTTCAGACTGTTGATTATTCTCTTCCCAATGATAACAGTCATGAAGTCTACGCCATCCCTTGTGGTTTAGATAAATAATATGATATCATTTATTGGGCTAAGTAATTACAAGACTAATCTCGCCTGAGTTAACGTGACTCAATGTCATTAAAAAGTTTGAGCGTTGTGGATTAGATCAAATAAAGTATGATTATATATCATTGTGTGTAAACAATTAAAATATAATAATACTTTGATTTGACACTAGTAACTAGTGTGATGCGTCTAGTCCTCTGATTGGTGTTGACTGAATTCTATCAGTCAGGTTCTAGTTAGCTTGCCATCACGGTACACATTGACTTGATGGTATTAGATGGTTGGAGGCAATATCCACTAAAGTCCTACAGGAGGTCAATCGCTAGCCCGAATAGCTCAGTGGTAACGTCTATGACTTCAGCACTGGGTGACGCGGGTTCGAATCTCAGAAGGGACATGAGTTCCTTCAAGGTTGCAGATACGCCTTACTGACTGGAGAGTGCCAACTAGCACGAAGGCTTCCTGCCGATTGCCTCCAACCATCTAACAATTGAACTTTATTCGAACTAAATTTACTTGTCTATTGATACGACACCTGGTGTTAAATGGTACTTTCTCTGCCATCACAGTTGATGAAGTCTCACGAAGTCACTGACTGATATAACTTTTACTCTAACACTACGATTAACTTCGTTATTACGAATCATCTTGCTCCAGCCTATGTGAATAACTGTTCATCATCCTGGAAAAGACATAGTTTTTTTATATTTATGTATATATATACGCAGTATATTCACACAGTAGGATGGGCGAGAACTAATCTTTTTTTCAAGCGCCAACATGATTGTTTGAAGATACAGCCTAAACTCTGAATCTTCCTTAACCAAATCTACACTAAACACGTGCGGTAGAAGTGATAAAACATCAGTGTGGTAAATACGAGGAGTATTATCACTGATAAAATGAAAGGGTGAAAAGTGATTGAATTAGGTAAACCGGACCTGGAATTTATATTAGTAACTATTCTATTCTCTAAAATTCTCCGTCCCCGTGTCTATGATTTTAATATTCATTGAACGCATTGAAATTCGACACTTAAATACTATGAACTGTATTGCAACATAGCGTCTTATAAAAATACGTTTATCAAATCCACATGTTTTAATTTGAATCAAAATTAGAGGTTACATTTCCTCGACACAACTGTAACCATAGAGTACTATCTCCTTTGCACAGATAAACTAACAAGATCAACCCTGATCATGACTGATGATCGCTATAAACATTACTGAATATTCTCGCTTGTTTTCATTAAATGCTTCTTCCACTAGATACGTAACAGACGTACGGAACCGGAGGTCACCGAAGAGACTGCCCTTCTTACTTGAAGGTATCTACTCTTATCTTCAGTGTTCATTCAATTTCTTCCAACCGCCTACGGATAATGATCTTAGAAAGTGTGAAAATGTTTTTTGTATCCTGCTTATCGCAAAACACCAGTCATCTTCGCTTTTTTCATACTTGCATATTTTGTGATTTTATGTATGTTCAATATCCTAGCAACATCGTGATTGTATCAAAAATTAAATAATTTAGTGGAATCTATAAATTTTAATAAAATTTTAAAAAATAAACATTTCGATTGTTACAAATGCAATTTGTACTCCACAAAAAGTATATCTAGTGTGTGTGTGTGTGTGTGTATGAAAAATAGTATGCTTACACAGATATCAATAAAAATAGCAAGTTAACAGAAACGTGAAGGTGGTATCTAAACTGCATTCATCAGTAGGTGCATAGGCTAGAAGGTGTGGAGCCATGGAACTCTACTCACAGATGGTGCAATCTCACATTCAGTTGTACTCTGCGTCGCAAAATGCAGTATAAAATAAGTGATTAGATTTTAAGTCAGTAGACGATTAGTCACGTTATGTATGTGATAGGTTAGAATTGGCACACAGAAGAATTGCTGTCACTTTTAAGTTACTGGGTAGCAATGATATTATGCCCTACAATGGTTGGTCCTACACATGTTTTGTACAGTATCAGGAAAAGCTCAGAAGTGAGCGCGCCTAACTGTTTATGTTTTAAATGTGACACTGCATCAGCCCAAACCACACCCGTCGAGGGGTTGACGCTTGTATCCAGTTTTCCTTTTAGAATGAGACCGGAGTCATGGTCTGACGTTGCATAGCATAGGCTTTCACCACAAAGGCGAAATAAGCTCTGTAAGTCTTTTAGGTACGTTGCTGCACCACTTTGCATATTTTAGGTTGAAAGTCATGTCATTTATCTTTGCCCAGTCTTCTAGAGTTTACAGGTCTGCCAGCAAACCTTTTGAGTCTTCAACGCTTTTCTGTTGCCCTCCAAACTACTGTCATCAGAGTAAACAAGAATCGTCCAGTTTATTTGAGACATTCATATCCCAGCATCACTTCCAATCTCTCCGTGAAATAATAGGCTGACTTTACAGTCCGCCGAAAACGACTGATTGACAATACTACTGGTCTGTCTATTAAAGGCAGATATGTATCCATATATATGTGTGTGTATGGTGGTCTCTCTTTCTGTTTGCTCGCTTAGTCTGTGACCATTTCACTTGTGTGAGCTTGTCTCCTTTAACAATGTATATTCCCCTTATATTATATATAATATGAGTGTTTGTTGACAGTCCATTGCTTGGTGACAGATATCCATATTATATGTGTGGTTGTTGACATGTCTGTTATATTTCGCTATGTATATATGGATCGATACCTCATTATAATTAGCCATTCATGTTAAGACTGTCTATTGATTGTTCACACACTTGTCTGGACGGTTATATATATATTTCGTTCTCACAATCTTGTGACTTACTTACTTTAGTGTGATACCACTTATTGCATTCTCCTTGTGTTTGAAAAATAGAAGTATCATCGCAAACCTAGTGGTCTTCTGATTTCCGTCTTTCTTGCGTCAGGACTATTAAATTCTCGACCAGTACATAACAATAATTTAGCGACGAGTACATAACAAAGGCATCACCAACATAGGCCCCAGCTGGTCACTCGTTAAGATTAAGACAATCCTTGATCCAACTTTTCAACCGATCGTTGATAAATATCCGGAACTTAACTGCCCGTCTGACGACCTACCGTGCATAACCAGCAGTGTCATGCACCACATCATTTCCTCAGGACAACCCGTGACATCTGGAGGACGACGACTGGCTCCTGACAAACTGAGAATCGCTAGGAAAGAGTTCGACTATATGCTCACCCTTGACATCATTCGACCTTCGAATAGCCCATGGGCATCCCCACTTCATATGGTTCCGAAAAAGGTAGCAATGGTTGGCGACCCACCGGTGATTACCGGCGAGTGAATGCCAAAACAACCCCTGATTGCTACCCGTTGCCTCATATACACGACTTGACGGCAACCTTATTTGGCGCGACTATATTCTCCAAAATCGACTTGGTTAAAGCGTATAACCAAATCCCGATGGCAACAGAAGATATCCCGAAAACGGCTATCATTACGCCTTTCGGACTTTTTGAATTTCTACGTATGCCATTCGGTCTCCGAAATGCAGCCCAAACATTCCAACGCTTCATCGACGAAGTATTTCGCGGTCTCGACTTTGTATACGCATACTTAGACGACTGCCTCATTGCCAGTCCAGACAAGGAAACTCACCTTAGGCACTTGGACTTGGCATTTGAAAGGTTACGCCAACATGGTGTTACCATTAATATTCAAAAGTGTCAAATCGGTGTTGACTCACTCGACTTCCTGGGTCACACTATTGACTGCAAGGGCATTCGCCCACTGGCTACTAAGGTCGAGGCTATACTGAACTTTCCAGAGCCACAGACGGTGAAAAGTCTCCGCACTTTTAACGGCTTGGTAAGTTATTATCGACGCTTTATTCCCAACTGTGCCTCTCTGATTCAGCCATTGACAGACCTTCTTCGAGGGAATAACAAGTCCATCAAACTTGACGCGTCTGCTCGAAATGCTTTTACTCAGATTAAAAAAGCTATTGCGAATGCCACACTTCTGATGTATCAGGATCCAACGGCACCGTTAAGTATCTCGGTTGATGCATCAAACACTGCAATCAGCGCAGTTCTACAACAGCTAGTTGACAAAGAGTGGCAACCACTCGCCTTTTTCTCCAGGTGCCTTCAATTAGCTGAAACGAAGTACAGCACATTCGGCAGAGAACTTCTGGCTATGTACTGTGCTATACGTCATTTTCGACATTCAGTAGAGGGTCGTGAATTCATAGTTTTTACTGATCACAAACCTCTGACGTACTCTCTGAACTCACCTTCAGATAAGTATTCACCCAGGGAATCACGACAACTGGATTACCTTTCACATTTCACATCAGATATTCGCCATGTATCCGGAGTAAAAAACACTGTGGCAGATGCCTTGTCGCGCGTTTGTTCCCTCACCCAAATCGACGGCATAGACCTTGTAAAACTGGCTCGTCTTCAGAAAGTAGATACTGGGCTCCAACATGAGTTGTCGAAAACAACTCTACAAATAGCTGAGAAACCCTTAGGTATGGGAAGAGATACTATTTTGTGCGACATTTCCACGGATACTGCTCGCCCCATCGTGCCTAAAAGTTATCGCCGTAACGTCTTCAATACGTTGCATGGCTTATCTCACCCAGGTATTCGAACCACTCTCAAGCTCGTAACTAGTTGGTTTCGTTGGCCTGGCATTAATAAAGAAGTAAAGGAATTGGCACACACGTGCTTAGCTTGTCAAAGGTGCAAGGTAATAAGACACACCAAAAGCCCACTTGCCACCTTTCTTCTCCCTGACGCTCGTTTTGAACACGTCCGTATAGATTTGGTTGGACCCCTTCCTGAATCCTATGGATGTACCTATATTTTAACTTGGATCGATCGATCCACGTGATGGCCGGAAGCAGTACCCATCAAGGACGTATCTGCTGAAACAGTCACACGCGTCTTCGTAGAAAGATGGATCGCTAACTTTGGATGCCCATCTTCCATAACAACTGATCGCGGGCGACAATTCGAAAGTGGCCTATTCTTCCCCTGACTAAAATCATAGGTTGCATGCGTTATCGAACAACAGCCTACCATCCTCAAGCTAATGGCCTGGTAGAACGTCTACACAGACAGTTGAAAGCTGGTCTGTCAGCTGCAAACAACACCCATTGGACTGAATCCCTTCCGTTAGTACTCCTAGGGATACGAAACGCCCTGAAAACCGATGCTGGTTGTACTAGCGCCAAGCTAGTATATAGCACGGCACTACGGCTACCTGGTGAATTTGTTTCTCCCTTGAGCTTCCCACCAGTGGTAGATCACGCTTCATACGTCAGCAGGCTTACAAACGCTGTGTTCAGTTAAACCTGCTCCCCTTCGTCCACAGTCCATTGATGATTTCGTTCATCCGTGTTTAAGAACTTCTTCACATGTATTTGTTCGTCGTGACCCTGTGTGTATAACTCTAGAACCCCTGCACGATGGACCATAATAAAGTAATTAAACGCTTGGATAAATTCTTTGTCTTAGACAAAAAAGGCCACGAGGAAACCGTCAGGATTGACCGTCTGAAACCTGCTTAGTTGTAAGGTAATCCTGTTAGCACAGAGCTGAGCGTGTCTCATAATCCACAAGTAACCGAATATCCTTTAGTCCTCGAAGAAGTCACTAGCACGGCGAAAGCTAACGAAACTTCTGTCGAGCCCTTGAAGAAAACACGTCCTGGACGTACCATAGGATTCTCGAGATATCTTCACACTTATATAACATAACTAAATGGTGCTATTCACCCAGCTCATTTGTTTGTGGTATTAATTATTTTTGTTTCTTTTCAGATATCAATTATTTTTGATATAGCATCACTAAACACAAGTAAAACAATTTTATTTTCTATAACCACACAGTTTGCATGCACTAAAAAATTTAGATGTATACTATTTCGACGTTCTAAACTTTGCATTATTTTACTGTATGCTAAATGCACATACTTTTTTAAAAAAAACGCCGATTTGGTACATTTTCCTCAACAAGGTTCTTAGCGTCCTTGTTCTCTTTTCCAGGTGCGGAGGTCACTTGTCTTTGATACCGGAGGACTAACTGGTGAAAGGATCAACTCCATTCACAGCAGTAACAGTCTTAACACACCTCATACTACAAACCACATATAATTAATCCCAGCACTACTCCTTTTGGAGTCAACCAAAGCTACAACTGTCGAGTGGCGGGACGAGCTACGCATAAGTTTACCGAAGATCAGGAACCTATACCGTACAGTCAAGAAGCGAGCACAAAGATATCAAATTGGTTTATACTAGCTTGTAAAAACGATTTTGGATATTGGCACTGGACAAGAAACAAACGAAGCACGGGATCCAACGAACAACATCAAGGAAGCGATGTACAAACACCCTATTAGCATAGGCAGACAGACCAGTAGGCACGCCACCAAGCCGATCGGAAGATATTTTTCACCCGAAAGGTAACCATCGAGTTTTTTTACTTCTGGCTGGTTCTGTCTTAAGGTCGTCACAACCCCACTAGGGGGAGTAAGCTGTAGCGGTAAATAATTCTCCAAAATTATAGGCCATAGGAATAGATTATGTCTAAGCGAAGAATTACATCGTGACCATAAGAATCATCAGTGAACATTGGATGCTGACCCTTAGTGTTTAAGTCGACTTGTTTAGCTGAACGCTTCCCATCAAGCATCCCGGCAATTTGGTACACCGTCGTGTCACTGTCGTACACGGTAACTAGCTTGCTTAGCTTCCGCTTCAATCCGCGATTTGGTTCCGAAATATATATCGCCATTTGGACAATCAATTGTGGTATTTTGCTTTGCCTTTGGTACACGAGATCCAAATAAGTTAGAAGTTGTTGGTATAAGATCTTGCATTAATATACTCAGTACTGTTCGTGAACGTCTATGCCGTCAACATTTAAAACAGGATCAAGCACTTCTGAAAGCACGCTCTGCTCTCTGACATGAATTGTTCTAGTCGAGGTATTCCCTGATATGGTAATCATTCAGGCTTTTCAATACTCTCGATACTACTAGAAGCAGTACATGGGCCTATTGCCAATTGAGTTTAGCCAATATCCAT